TTAAGGGCTTACAGGAGGGAGATAGATGATCATCTCAGGTCACCAACAGCTTGTCCAAAGAAGAATGCCTGCAGGGAATAAAAGTCCAGGTCTCCTTCCAAGACACACTCAGGATGCTTTTTGCAGAAAGTGGATCTAGGCATGAAAGGATTCTTACATAATGCCCACATGTTTTCTGATTAAAAATAATAATAATAACTGGAATAGTTCCAGTATTAAGTTAAAGTATATACTACACACTAAATTTCCCAGATTTTGGCGAGGGAGGAGACTGTGTTGTAAATATGAATCACATAAGTAATGACTGATTTGTAACTTGCCCTGAATGAATTTTTCGAGTCACCACATTTTACTGGATCTCTTGGTGGTCTCAAGAATATGATGTTTTAGATCATGTTATAAGCAAAACTCCACTTCAACGGACAAAGTAAAACTTTCTAAAATGTGGATGCATTTTAGTTATTGTGTTTAGGCAGTTGGAAAAAATATGACCCTATATAAATTTCTATTTAGAATAGTGGCTGCTTCTTTAAAATAATAAAAAAAATGTGGAATTTTGCCTATTACATATAATTTTTTCAATACTTATAAATGTTTTTGTGGCAAATTACAATGTTTTATGTAAAAGAAACATGGTTTTGAGACATCAAATTATGGAATACTTATAAATTTCCATAAAGTTGCATATTGTCAGTTTGTTGTTGATATTTTAGACAAGTTTCACCTGATACTCAGCTTTTAGTTTTCATACTTGAGGCAATCAGCATCTAGCATATGGTATATAAGACACAAAACTAAGCAGGGCTCAGCTTCAAGAGCAAGGCAGCTGGTAGATTTGACAGTTCTTTTCCAAATTACTCATCATGCTTTGAGTTGCTGCTAGGAAAAAATGTGTTGCCCATCTCCAAAATAGATGTTCTTTTTTATTTTTAAGCTTGGGAAACGCTTCCAATAGAAAATAACACAGATGGGTATAGGAAGCAAGATATTTATCCCTATTTAGACCATTTTCTTCTGTCAGTTCCCTCGTCAGAAGTTTTCCAAATAAACAAATGAATACTTCAGCATTCATATGTAACTATGTCCCGGGATGTACTTTTGCTTCTCCTATAAAGACTGCTTTTAGAATAAGTGAAAAGGCCAAACCACAGGAAGGCCTGGGGCATTTTTAATTGTTAAAGTGGCATTTGTCTAGATTTTGTGCTAAACAGTAAATATGGGAGTTGGATAAAACTGCTCATCTTGAGATATTGGTGACATTGAAGATGAGTAAGTGAAATCTGCAGAGTATTTTCCTTCATTGGCAAGGAAATGATTGTCTGCTTTCAGTAATATTCCCAACACTGGGGCTTATCTAAATCTAGAATTGTTCCTAAAATCTCAAAAGTATAGGCCTAAAGGTGTTTATGCCAACTGTGAATTGCTTTGAAGAGTGGCCACACATCTTTAGTTTTATTATTAACCTCAATTTAACTAATCAACTCATAATTAGGCACATATCTTCAAAAGTGTGTGTGTATGTAAGTAGCGAAGAGAGGATAAGTGTAGATCAGGGAGATCCAGTGCTTAATCTAAAGTTGTTACCAAATCCAAAAAACCAAACCTGTTGCTGTCGAGTGGATTTTAACTCATAGCGACCCTATAGGGCAGAGCAGAACTGCCCCATAGGGTTTCCAAGAGCGGCTGATGGATTAGAACTGCCGACCTTTCGGTTAGCAGCCGAACTCTTAATAACGGTGTCACCAGCGCTCGGATGTGAACTGCATAGATTTGCAAATTCTTTTACTCTAATGCAGCTCTCAAGAGTCATCCATTTGGACAGAACTCCTATTGGGGGCTTAAAATGATTTCTAAGTGGGGCTCTCCACCTAGACCACCTGGAAGTTTCATCTGGTAGGTAATGCAGTGGTTGGTTTCCAGTTCTGTCAGTATTCTAGAATCCACACTGGCTTCTAATTTTCTTTTGAAAACCTTAGACAGAAACTACTCTCAGAATTTTCTCTAAACTTCCTATCTTGGGACATATTTCTTCACCTAATTTATACTGTAATTAAGTGTTGTTTTTTCTTCCCTTTCTGTGGTCTCTACTCTGTAGACGACCATCATGCTAAGCTCCCTATGAGTCTCTAAGATGGAAAACATGCCCACTATCAAATAATCAAATACGAATGATAATGCGGATTTTCTACAATTTGATTTTTAATTCATTATTTTAATTGACTTTCACCTTGTGACCCTACAATAAGTGTGTGTGTATATATATATGTATATATATATATACACACACATACATACATACATATATATATACATATATATACACACACATACATATATTATATATATATTCAGATCCTGAATAAAATTGATATAAGAAGTTGATGGGAAGAAAAAACAGGCTAATTTTCTCATTATCAACCCTTCTACGGTGATTCAACAAAAGCATATGCCACATTCTATTTCCAAAATTAATAGTAGTTGTCAAGTTTAAAGTATAGTTCTTCATATTTCTGAGCACTGTCATAAGTCATTTGAGATAGATTTATGAAATGACAGACTTTCCCAGAATAAAATACAATGTGTCAAGAAGCTATTCTTTAGTCCCAGTCCAATGGGAATTTAAGAAATCATTTCAACCAAGAATAAAACTAGAAAAAAAAAAAAAACCTTTTGAAATGTCATGCAGATGGCAGATACATCTCAATACTCTGTATGCATTATGTTTTCTAATCAAGGGATGTTTTTGTTTACGGTTTTTAAATATATTGGAAGTTGTTAACATATTGTTCTATGTTCTGGGAACTTGTAAAATAATATAAATCAATCAGGCATAGATTATAGGCATAAAGTTTCTGTATATAAAAATATATAATATAAATGAGATTTTTCCTGTTCATTTAAAAACTCAAGATCATATACTTACATTTGATGCCAATGTTAAACTAATCTATATTTTGGGATATCTAATGTCATAATTTGGAGCTGTGGTGGTGCCAGTGGTTAAACGTTTGGCTGCTAACCAAAAGGTTGGCAGTTCAAATCCACCAGCCACTTCTTGGAAACCCTATGGGGCAGTTCTACTCTGTCCTATAGGGTCGCTATGGGTTGGAATCGACTGGATGGCAATGGGTTTGGTTTTTGGAATGTCATCCCTTCTGGTGGAAATTGTTCTCATCTATTTGTTTTTATATTTTCTGTAAAAACCATGATGCTTTAATCCGAAGATCACTTTAGATAAAGTTAGTAAGTTTTTCATTGCTTAAGCTTGAAGAATTCCAAAAAAGCATATGATTGTTATATAACTTTCTGCTTACTAATACTTTTGTTATATTTATATTATACATGTTTTCTTATGTGACACATAAACGACTCAGTTGCTGGACCTTTCACAGACCCTGAGAGAAGGGGATCCTATACAGTGGTCATATAGATTACTATTAGCTTTCCTTTATATTCTTTCTCATTCTCTTCTTCATTTCAGGTGTCATACCATAACCCCATAAAATTATCATTAATAAAAATTTTTACAGATACAAGAAAATGAGGCAGAAAAATTATAATAACATATTTCTCAATTTTCTAATACCATCACTTGTAGAAAGCACCATCAATTTAATAATTGTGCTTCAAGCAGCAACAATTAAAAAAAGTTTATGTTCACATTAATTGTATGCCATAACTATACTTCCAAAATATTAAAATGTTAAATAATAGATGCCTCAGAAGCCAGAAACATGTTAGTCAATATTAGTATACAAAATACTTTTCACATGTATCATCAATCTTAAACTCAGTTCACTGCCACAACAGCTTTGATAAGTCAGTATGCTTCTCTCCCTTTTATACATGGGATGACTGAGAATCAGGGCTAGCACTACTATGTAACTCATCAAAAGAAGTACTGCTCAGAAATGGTAGAGCTGAGATTTCAACTGAGAAAACAAAGTTCTATTTAATATTTTTGTTACCCATGTAAGAGCATACCATATTGTAATAAAGTCTGTGAATGTTTCAACCAAAGGGGGAAAAAAATGTTATGAGTTTGGACAAATCTACATCAAATGTCAACAATGTCAAGCAGCATTAGGGAGGATTTTGAGTATGGATGGACAATTTTTAAAACTATGTCAAACTGAATAAATTATTAAAGTATCTTTTGGTACAGTAAATCAGCAATTAACCAAATTCATTCATTCATGTATTCATTCATCCATCCACCATCCATTTATGCATCCATCTATTCATTTATTTATAACACAATTACCAAGATGTCTTTCAGCTAAACCTTAAAAGAGATGCAGAAAGGTTATTAAATCAATGAATTTGAAAAGAGTTTATCTTCCAAATGTTTACAAATAAAGTACCACTTAAATTTCTGCAAGTGCAAGCTTTTAACTTACTTCAATTGTGCAAAGCCAAATAAAGGATGAGATATATTAAAACACAAACACTAACTTTTCATGCCAAAGAACACAGCTCATTCCTCCCCTGCCTCTCTGTGTAAGCATCTATTTCCAATAACTTGAAGCATTCTATTTAAGTTTGTTTAAACAGGCATGCAGATAACAAGTACACAGCAGTTAAAAATACCCCTAAAAAACCTGGAACTCAGAGCAGCTTATATTAAAAGAGGTACATGAGTAATAGGGTTTCTTAATTTAGTTCTTAAATTAGTTAACTAATATCAAACATAAATAATAACATTATTTTATACATACAAGAAAAAAAGAGTTCTATTTCCTTCTTAAGAAAATTATATTAATCATTAACATATTCTTTTACATGAAAAATGTTACCTACACATAGCTAGGTAGCAAGATCACTCCAAATTGTTTACCAAAATGATGAAAAGATCAGAAGCAACTTTTACAACCAACAGTCCCTCAAGTAATATTTAACATCGATGAATAAATATATTTCATTCCGTCAAATCCTGCAATGCATGAGTTATGAAGCATTGTACAAAGCCATGCTAAATGGATAGAAGGATGGTTACTTACCAACAGGGCGAGCTGTAGACATTACAATGGTGTGGTGAGAACATAAAAAAGAAATTAAAAGAAAAAGAAAATTATCAGAATGCATGATGAGGAATGTTACATTTAAGTATGGGCAATAGAATGATTTCTAGTGTCACAAATTCAAGTATGAACAGGATGTCTGTGTTTGATAAATTAAAACTTATCAAGATAATTCTAAGAAGTAGTTATTTGCATCCTGGGGTTGACTGTAAGCAATCTATGAGATATTTTCAGTAATGTCTCATCATCCTCACTTACTGTAGTTACTATTTCAAAGAGCTACTTAGGGTTAAAAAGCTTTGTATTACCCCTAAGATAAGAACCTGATGAATATAGCTATTCAAGTCACAGACTAGCAAATGTCATGTCAATAAAAGAAGGCCTCACTGTCTGATTTAAATAGCAATTGGATTTTGAGCATGGTTAGTGAGAACCATTACAAGGACTACAGAAAAGCCCCTGACGCTGCCTTTCAGCCAGTAATAAGTTAAGATCACATCACTTTTCATCCGTGGACAGTGTGGATGAAAATATAACAAATAGGTTGGAACATCCTTAGAGATTTCAACTCAGTAGCTCCATAACTACTGTTAAGCTTTTCCGTTTTTGGCAGAGGGCAGAGGAGGGAAGAAAACAATGATTGACAAGTTGATTCTAGTTCATACTGAGAATAGCTTTTAAACTGCTGCTTCAACAAATTATTATTATTTTTATTATAGCATAACTTTCAATCACTAAAATCAGTAGTAACAGGCTGTGCCAATTATTAAAGGACAGAAATTGTAAGAGGCATACATAGGCTTAATAATACTTTTTAAAAAGAATAACACCAAATAAATTTAGGTAGTAAACCATTCGCTATAAAAGCAATATAAAAGCAATGGGCAAATATTGTCAAACATAGGGTCCCATTATTCAAACGGAAAAGAAATATATTTAGTAGCATTTAAACTTTAACAAAATTTTACATTCAAAAATACAAATTTATTTGAAAACACATCTTTTCACTCATATTCCAGTCAACATAATTCTACTGCATATGTAACGAGACTCTAGAATTTATAGGTCATTTTTTGCTGATGATGTCTCCTTGGGTATGGAGACATAGATACAGCCATTAAAAACATATGTATTGGCGTCCAGTCACTCAATGAATACATCATGATACTAGTTGTGTGCAATCTCTAAAAATAATACTAGAGTTGCCTTCATATGAGATTCATGGTATATAATATTATTCACAATTCAAAGGAGAGGATTAAGATAATTCAAAGACAATTATAGCAGCAGTATCAAAATTCTGGCATAGTGAAACTCTAGTGTGTCCCACAGTAGACAGTGGGTTTACCATAGCAAGAGAAAAAGGGAAGAAATAAGATGCTGCAGTACAATTTATTTCCTTTGGGGAGGAGGGCATAAAAAGAACAACCTAGAGCAAGGCAACAGGCTAATATAAAGTTGTATCATTGTTTTGATGAGATACGTCTTTCAATTTTGCCAATGGCCAGAGGAAAAAACTTTGTCTTTCATTTTTGCATCTGTGCGTTTTTAGCCGCCACCTCAAGCTGAATTTCAAAAATATTTCCTTTGGGGTAAGGGGAGGCATTTTGATTGTGTGTTTTTTAAGAGAGATAATTAAGAAACCCTGGTGAGAAATAATGCCTTAAAGAAATAAACTATATTTCTCTTTCACTTTACTTAGTATAATTCCAAAAAATTAAACCTTTTTTGCCCTGGAAGGAAGGTAGTTTTTCCAGTGGTTTTTATTTATGCAAAACCAACTTATGCAACTTAAAAATGGGCAGGGGGATTGTGTCTACAAATACGTAGTTTGTGTTGTTTAAATCATTTTGTGGTCATTTAGAACGGAAATTATTTGATTAAAATATAAATGCTAAGAGGTTTATTGTTAGCTAGCATTATTTCTTTGTACTTTCACATTTGTTAAGTCAGCAAACGGTAGCTACTTGCTGTTAAATTTCATTGTATAGTCTATTTTCATCATATTTTTGAAAAGAAAAACAGCTGAATAGATTTCTGTGTCAGATTTTGATTATAAAACTTTATTATCCTTTCCCCAATTGGCTAAAGTGAATATCGTGATAATATTTTAGCAGAAACATCACAATGAAACTTCTTGTCTTTGTGAGATCCCAATATTTCTTTCTGGAAAAAAAGTGAGCAGGTCGATGTTTTTTAAAATCAGCATATTAAACTAAACTGTATCCCTGCATTTAATGGTTGAACATGGAAGTGGCCCCTGGGGTCAACTGACCCTGTTCTAATAAAACAATTCAGAGAAGTGCTGACCATTTCATTTATGAGCACGGAAAAATCAGCCCAGAAAAAAATAAGAGTCATAGATAATAACTTTTTTTTCCCGTTAATAACCTCTAGGCATGAGAAATCTCAACTGCTTTTGCCAATGGTGAAAAATATTTTGAACAATATTTTACTTCACATTATGTTGCATTATGGAGTTTTTTTCCCCCCTTAACCTTGTTTCTTAGGTTTCAGTCTTAGATGAGTGATAATTACATATCATAGTGATTAACCTCTAATCCATTCATAGGACACAGATTAGTGAAGAGGCAAAGTAAGGTTTGCTGATTAAAAAGAAAAAATCCTATTAAAAATAAACAAGTTTCTCTATTAACATGCTTTCTTAAATGAAAAGTTAAACCGGAAACTTTCAGCAAATTATGAAACCAATTAGCTGGGTAAGAACTTAAACAGACCACTTCAAGTCTCCTTCATCCAAGCATTCATGTATAAAAGAAACCCTGCTGCTTCTACCAACAAACACGTCCTCATATTTTCTCACCATTTGTTTTGTCAGCAAATAGTTTTTAAATGGAGCATTTCCTGGTCAGTTGTTTATTTATTTTTCCATTCACTTCAGGAAAATAAAATAAACTTTGGGGATAATCTGGTCAAGTAAATTGTTTTTGCAAAGGGCTGTCGAGTTAAAAACATGTATTATCTGGAGAGAGATATATATAATCATTACCTAGAGAGAGTGTAGATTAAATATAGCAAAGAGTGTCCCCTGGCTTATGTAGGCTATCAGCATTTCGATCATATACCATCAGAATATATATAGTTACATGATTGTTATATGATCACGTACCTTATGAACTGTTAACTGATAATAAGTAAACGTGTGTTTTAAGCAATTGGCTTGTCAATTTTGTCCAAATTTGCCTTGTGTCTAAGTTCACACCAGAACGTCTGAAGGAGAACAAATGGATTAAGTGGAATAGGAATTGAGCTATTGAAAAGTACGGAAAGTGCCAACAATTGTTCAGGTATCCACTGTGCCTGTCTCATAATAATTGCCTGGAGGAAGTTGAGTTTTTTTTTTGTTTGTTTGTTTTGTTTTGTTTTTAAAGATTTAAAGCCCAAATTGTAGATCTGGCAAGAACAAACAAAAAACACATTTCTCATCAGTTAGAGGACCAGCCTAAGGATACCTGACACATTTCTTGCAACTGTTGTAAGCCTCTAATCCCTTCTCCTGATCTTATGAAATCCTCTGGAAGCAAAGCTGCACAAGGGTAAGAGGTACAACTAACTAGGGTGGGATGTAACTGAGGCCTGGATTAAAGTATGCAACCAACCTCCTTTCCATTAAGGATGGTAGGAGGAAGCATCAGCTAAGATAGAAGGAAGCTTGAAAGGCTGAGCAGGGCGTGTGCTTGCCTATCTCTGTTTGAAATCATGTGAGTGTAACGATGCCACAGGTAATGTCTATTTGGCAAGAGTAAGTGTAGCTATCTCCATGGTACTACCTGGTACCTTGGACTATTTAATTTACCTCACGTAGATAAACATGTTCCACCACTAAGGCGGTTAATTCATTCTAGTGCACTCTGTGGATAAGCTCTATAGTAATGTTTTCTTTCATTTATAAGCAATTCCAGTGACTGTATAAACAAACATTATTCCAAAACTGAGAAAGTGCTTGACACCCAGAAAGTGAAAGTTATTACAAGCGGAGCACTGACTACTTCAATTATTTAAGGCCAATGAACTTCACAAATCACTCTCTAAATCAGATTATCTCAATGCCAGAGTACTTTTCACCTTTGGAGGCAATGTTAGTATTTTTTCAAATTGCTTTTTTGAATGCTGAAATTTAAAAAAAAAAGGATTTCAAAACAATACTATACTAGTATAAAGTGACAAACTAAGGAACAGAAAATTTAGAGGACCTTGGAAACTGGTGACATTTAAAAGCAGTAAATAATTGAGAGCAATGGAAGAATAAAAAAAAAAGTGTAAATAATTTGCTTTTTTCTTAAGATTTGTTTTAAACAATAAAAACTATTTACTTTAAACCAAAAACTACTGTTTATTAAATAAAAATTAATTCCTTCAAATTACAGTCCTTTCAAATTCAAATTTGAGAGTAACTTTATTTCAATTAATGATAGGTCACAAAATCTGGGTATTTTTATATAATAATAAAACAGTGAAAGCTGGTACTTTGATTGTGAGTTCACTTACCAATTTAACCAAATATTAATCTTCTGGTTCACTTATTTTTGACATCTTAAGGCACTTACCTCTGACTGTGAGGGTAGCAGAGGCTTCCACTTTTCCAACCCGATTCTCGGCAATACACATATAGGTGCCTTCATCTGTACTCACTGCCTTCTTAATTCTCAGCGTGTAATCATCTTTGATGTCATATCTGTATAGGAAATAACTGCTTGTATTCAATATTGCTTGTTATATTTAAATTATAATACTAAACATTTATCTTCACTTTGCTCTATTAATACTATTGTTTCTTTAAAACAAACAAAACACACACACACGCATCACACATAAAATATTCAGCCGTAAACTGCAGTTACTATGTTCACTTAAAAACATTTTTAATAAGACCATTAATTTCACATATTATCTCCAGGCACTTGGTTTTTGCATATATATATATACAGTCTTGTCATTTCAAAACTATCAAAGGCATTATTAGCACTTCTATCTTTATTTGATAGTTCTTAACTAGGAAAATAGTACACATTTCAGTTTCTCAGTGAGGTGTATTCCATAATTTTTAAGTTACAGTGTGTTCAATAAAATGATTTTGTTAGGCATTTTGAATATAAGAACAGAAATATATTAAAGGAGAAAATCTTTGGTAAAAATAAATAAGAGTGGGTAATGATTTTTTTTTTTAATTAGCAATACTACCTCTAGAAGCATCAACATACCTTGGAGCAATTTTTGGTCACACGCATTCTCACCTCGCTCACATGCACGCATATTCTCACTTACATTTTTAAACTAATAAACCAATGGACGAGATCAGAAAAATTTCTACAATTTTAGTGCGTATTTACTTTGGTATTTGCATAAGATGTGTTTATTGGATTATAAAACAATAACGATTACACAAACAAAATAATGAAGGTATTTTATTTTCAATCTTTTTGTAGCTGATCTTTCCTTTTGATTTTCAGTGCTACCTAACTCCAGTCCTTATTCCAACCCCAAGTTTCTACAAAAATTTCTGATTGCTTACCTCTTCCTCTACATACAAAGAGCTAGATCAGCATTCCCCAAATATTACTTTAATTGGCTCTACATGCTTAAAAATTAGCTATGACTTTCTATTGCTTTCGAGAGAGAAACAAGTTTTTTTAAGCTTGCATTTGTCTACCATAATCAGGCTTCTTCCACTTGCAGCTTTATATAAAAAGAGTAATAGATAGAGCTTAATTTTACTAAGGCTAGGACACAGACCTAATAATCCAAAACCAAACTCCGCTGCCTTCGAGTTGATTCTGACTCAGTGACCCTACAGGACATAGTAGAGCTGCCCCATAGGCCTTCCAATGCTGTAATCTTTATGGAAGCAGACTGCCACATCTTTCTCCTATTAAGTGGCTGGTAGGTTCGAACTGTCAACCTTCTGGTTAGCAGCTGAGAGCTTAAACACTGTGGCACCAGGGCTCCTTTTGACCTAATAATAGTACAGTTTTATAGACCATCAAATGACAAAAATCAACGTCTATGAAACATTCATGACAACTGGACTTAACCCATGGTCCTTCATTCTCCAATTATGAGGGTTACTTTCTATTTGCATGCTTTAGGTTAAATTTTTGCAAACTGAAAATGTCATAAGTAGTTAGAAAAGCCTTACCAACTACTCTTGTTTGAATTTCATTACTATCCCAGAAAATATAACCACCCCACCCCTTGAAACTTATTGCTACACCAATCATTATACACTTGCTTAAGTTTTAAATTCCTGTCAATTTTGATAAAGGAGGTATTTATGGCTGCATTACTCTCATTGCTGTATCTGCAGGTCCCAAAACAGAGCTTCACATCAACATCATAACCAAGTGGCAAAGAGCACAGACTTAGGAGCCAAACAGCCACACTTGTAATCCTGGTATCTGCCTCTTCCATGACCTGTAACATTAGGCCTGATGTTTAAATTCTCTAGGTCTCAATTTCCTTATTAGAAAAATGGGACCAATAATAGTACCTATCTCATAGAGTGTGAGCTTTAAATGAGGTATCGTATATATAAACTGTTTGAAACTGGCATACAGAAAGCATAATATATGTTAGATATTTTTATCACATCTGGCAGGAGCCATGAGTGGGAGTCAACTCAGGGCCAACGGGTTTGGGTTTTTGTTTTTTATTTTGGTTTAGTAGGAGCCCAGTAGATATTGTTGAATACGTAATGAATGCCTTGTTTCCTGCCAATACGAAGGTCAACCAAATGTGAAAGACTGGAAGCCTTCAAATTTTCAACAATTATGCTGGGTGCACAGGTGTGCCATAATCTCTCTCACCATCTCCCTACATATGAACCGACATAATAGGTACAAATGGACACAGAGTAAAGTCTGTGCCAAAGGGGCTACGATTGCCTTCTGAAGAAACCGAGAACTCTGTTAAGCTACCTTAGTGGGGCTAAAGGTGAAAGGAATACTCTTGGTGACAGTATATCTAGAATAGTCATCAGAACACACCCTAAACGGGCAATGAATTGCCCATTGCCATAAGTGGCCTTTCACTTTTATCACCCTTTTTCCCTACTTGCTCTCCACACATGCTGTTTGGCATGTCGACATGGGTGTCCCGTAATACATCAACCATGAGGGAGAGGGGCTCCAGCATTCCTCTTCCACGCTGCAGAGTGGGCCACACTTGGATGCAGTCTTAAGATCCCACCCTGGAACAGGAGACTAACTTTGAGGAATCTTGGTTGATGAGGATGTTTGCTGTTCCACTCATCCGTATCCTGTTTATTCTGTAATAAATGCCTGTTGACCTCACCATTAGAACAGTGTCTCATCTGTGCTCTGCTCCAAATGGGCTTCACTAAGAACTTATGAATAGGGCACATTGCAGCTTACCAACTGGGACATTCAAAAGACTATATTTATATTTTAGGGCAAGTACTGGGCTAAGAAGCATAGAAAAGTAAGAATTCACAGAACCACTCTCACCTTGGCTTTGTCAATTAAAAAACACACAAAATAATGATTTTGATGATGGCTTCAGAAAATTTGTTGGTGATACAATTAATGTCTAACAAAAATATTTCCTACAGTTTTCCTATGTTTTTCATGGAATGCTTAGTTCTAAGATACAAACATGGAATACAAAAGTAACATATTTTCCAGACATTTCTAATTGATCTAAAAAAAAATTGAATTCAGTTACACTTTGCTATCAGTTCTTGTGTGACTTTAGGAAAGGCCTTCATTACTCTCTAACTCAGTTTTATCAAAAGCTTAAAAGAGGGGAAGATAAACTTGATGGTCTATAAAGTCCTTTTCTGGATTAAAACATATGTGAAATCATGATACTAAGTTAACAGAGGCTCATTCAAGTGGAATGATTTGCTCCAAGTCATTTAACTTCTAAAGACAAAAACCAGGATTTAAACCTTGGATCTTGAATTAAAACATGGCACTTTGCCCACTCTGTGTGAACTCCCTTCTGCAGTAAAATGTTAGTTTAAATCTAAATGCTAACTTAAGACGTATAAGACACATAACTCTCTACATAATTTGGATAGAAATATAATTTCACATTGAATAATCATTTAGTTGTACATTTCTAAAAAAATGTTCCTTCATGTTTTAGAAATTCATTATATAGGTGACAACACCTACGATAAATACAATATGAAAGCCACGTCTTATGACCGTCTTCTCTTTTTTAAGTGAGTTTTTTTTGGTTGTTGTAGTTTGATTGGTTGGTTAACTAAGGGATACAAGTAATTGTGCATTCTATTCCTATGCCTGTAAATTTTGTTTCCACAAGAAAAATAAAAATCAAACGTCCCTTGGGAAGAATAAATTGATTTAATCTTAGCTAGTAAAATACAAAACAAAACAAAACCAATACCATGCCATTACAAGTAAATACTAAATCTCTCTCTCTCTCTCTCACTCTCATATAGATAGATATAAGCAGTAAAGCCTGCGAAAGTTAGGACCTGTGTAAGGCAGAAACCTGTCAAAGAAGGAAAACTCAAATATATTCCACCAAAACAGGCAATAGAAAAGTGGTAAAACTCACGCTGTCAAAGGTGGAAAACTTGGGAGACCCGGAAAAACAAGGCAGTCCTGTTGACTTCTGGCTCTCACAAGTTTCACTGTATATATATTTAGCTGTAGAACAGCGTTTCAAATATAGGTTGTAAAAATATACAAAAAGACAATAGTTTGATGGTATGGAGAATCCTAGTTAGAATACTTACAGGATTTCAGCTAGGTACAGAGTGCATGTACCCAAGACCTGAACTCAGTTCCAGTGAGACAGGTGTCTCTGGAGTAGGATGGGTTTTTTCTAATAATTCTTAACAACTTTGCATATAGAATGTCTAACATTGTTCCTTGGAATTAGCAGATACTCATTTAACATTGTCTCATTTCCATTTCCCATTGAAGATCACACTGAAATTTGGGAGGATTATAATAAAGGAAATAAACTATTTTATTTAAGAAGTATGTATGTGTCTCCTATGTGTCAGATACTGCACTGAATGTTGGGGATACGTGTCTTCACAGGACTCAGAGTCTAGTGAAATGATTTTCAGCTGGCTTGGATAAGGTCAACCTCTCCATGAGAGTAGTTCAGAACTACCTCTGGGGCTTTTTTCAACCTAAAACACACATTTCTCCAACCCCAAGTTTTACTAAAAGGAGCCTTGGTAGCACAATGGTTAAGCACTTGGCTGTTAACCAAAAGGTCAGCGGTTCGAACCCACCAGTAGCTCTGCAGGAGAATGACGTGGCAGTCTGCTTCAGTAAAGGTTACAGCCTAGGAAACCCTATCGGGCTGTTCTACTCTGTCCTATAGGGTTGATCTGAGCTGGAATTCAACTCAACGGCAATGTTTTCATTTTGTTTTTTGTAGGGTTTGCTAGGCACGTATTGTTCAGAGCCATGCCCTAATTTCCCCCAATTAGCAATAATTGCTACAATACACTAGTCCTTCTATGTTCCATGCATAGGAGTGTGATTGTGAATATTTTCAGCATTATGGATTTATATCAAAATACTTTAAACCCATAAAAAATGATTGACCCTCTAAGTTAAAAGAAACCTTTACAAGTTTATCTACTGGAATCATCCATCAACACTTAACATTCGGTCTGTAAAATGCAACCAACCATTCTTCCAACCTATTCCTATGGTGAGTGGCCCA